CCACATAAGAGTAAATTCAAAACAATTTCTCATATCACAAGTACTCATAAAAATAACTATAAGATAGAAAAAATAAAACAACAAAAAAAGTATTCATAAGTACCTGAAGAAACTGTATTATATACTCCTATAGAGATACATCCATGGCCTTTCATTAAATATTGACATTTAGGATGGCTTTTGTTTTGTTTTCATTACTATGAAGACAGTATGATGAACGGATATTTTTATATGTCGATATCAGGCTGCTGTTTCTTATCTAGGTTTGACCCAGTTGTTTCCAAACTCACTTGACCATGGAATCTTTCTTGGGAGAACATCAATTAACATGCTACAATACCAGTGTTTCTTAGAACACATTGTAGAAAACATTGACTTAAGAGGAAGTGACCCAATGTACTGTTAGTAGTATGACTTTCAAGTTTATCTTCTCCTCTAATACACTGGTCCTTAATATGCTGGGGCGTCCCAGAGCCCTTTGATGAAAGCTGTGGAACTTCTTCTTAATAAAAACTCCATTTGCTCTTCCACACTTTTGCACAATTTTGTTTACAGTTTCAGAGGTCCCTAGGACAGGAACTCCTCTGCTCTTCAGCACAGGCAAATAAGCACAGGCTTAAAGCAGAATTTTGAATTACATGGTGGCAGGACACATGTTTTAGTCCTTAGAAAGATTCTCAAGAGTGGAATCTTTAGGTCAAAGGATTAAAATATTTTAAAGTTGTTTCATACTATTGTCAAATTGTTCTCTGGAGAAGTTGTACCAAATTACTGTCGGCCCTTCATATCCATGGGTTCTGCATCCATGAATTCAACCAACGACAGAATGAAAAATTTTTTAAGAATTGTGTCTGCAGTGAACCTGTACAGGCTTTTTCTGTTGTCATTATTCCCTAAACAATACAGTATAACAACTATTTACATAGTATTTACATTGTATTAGGAATTATAAATAATTATGTCAAGGGTTCAGATCCCCACACTGGCCAGCCACCAAAAAGAAATAAAAGTATGTAATTAGAGATGATTAAAAATATCTGAGAGGATGTGTACAGATTATATGCAAACACTACACCATTTTATATCAGGGACTTGAACATCCATGGATTTTGATACCTGTAGAAAGTCCTGGAACCAATCCTCCATGGATATTGAGGGATAAGTGGTCTTCTCCAGACAGGATTAATGCAACACCAACTTTAGCATAGACTTGTCCTCATTTTCCGTATCCACTCATCCGATGATGGACATTTGGGTTGATTCCAGCTCTTGGCTATTGTGAAGAGTGCTGCAATGAACATTGGGAAACAGGTATACCTTCGACTTGATGATTTCCATTCAAGCCCTCACCTTTCACCACCCCAGCTTGGGAATCTAGGGCCCTTCTTGCTGTGGCTTGGTGGTCTTCGCTGGGCTGGTTATGGTTTTGGGGGGGTTATGACCACAGCCTGAGGCCCCTGACCGCCCCAGCTCAGGAGAGCCTGGAGCACTTCCTACATCATCTCAGTAGTCGTCGCTGGGCTGGTTGCACATGTTGGGGTGTGTGTCTG